TCAGAATGAGAGTCCAAACAGCTGATAAAAACATCCCAATAATCCACAAGTAATCCACACCACTCCAGTCCATCAGTTAACAGCTGCATGTTTGTAAGAAACAAATCCATCAAGATGCTTTTAATAGTTTTTAACCGTTCCATAATATTTATTTTCTGCTGAATCAGGAGAGAAATCTGCATAGATCAAGCACCGTTTACAAACGGTCAAAAACAGATCAAAATATGTGGGTGGATTTTGCTGAGAGACAACAGGAGATGGGCTTTTTCACTGGATGGAGCGTTATTATGGATTATGGACACTTATTTTCATCAGAAGTGATGGTTCACAAGACATTTTTATTGTGATGTTTTTATCAGCTGTCTGGACTCTCATTCTGACGGCACCCATTCACTGCAGAGCATCCACTGGATCTACATCTTGGATGTCCTGAGGGTGAGGACATTTTCAGCAAATTTTCATTTTTGGGTGAAGTATTCCTTTAAAAGCTATTATTATTGTAAAGAACATCTCTGAGGAGGAAAAAAAAAAGAGCTGTGAAGTTGTCTACAGTGTCATTTTATGTTTGGACAACTTATCAACATATAATGACACATTTTACAGAACATCTACAAAGCATTGCACATGTAGTAGATGACGATAATGTAGTTAGCCTAGCATGCTAATGTTATCAGTTGCCCGTGTCCTTTTCCGACCTCTCAAACTCCAGGAGTAGTGTTTTATTGTGTCCCAATCCCATTTTATTCCATTTGTATGTACACTGAGGTACAAGCCGAAATGATCGTCTGTGGTAACAGACAACATGCCACGCATTACAGATACTACTCTATAGATCTCATAATAAAAGGAAATGTTGAACGTTAGGACTCATAGTCAGAAAGTAATCACTCAAAACCAATTTCCAGACATTAGGTCATTTCTACCCATATTTTAAGACCACAATTATTACAGCACATTAGTATGCTATTAACACTACTGAAAGGCCACAAGATTGTATTAATAAGTACTCAAGTATGTCACATATTTTCTTGAAACCTCTTAGAATTGCTTAGAATTATGGTCAGTATAAGTATTTTCAATAAGTCCACTCTGGCAGATTTTTGAATTTTAATTTCATGAAATGTGAACTTAGCAACCGAATGCTCCTTAATTAGTTATAACTGAAAGTGCTCAAGTGCCTGTGAATGTGCGAGTACATTATAAAAATCCATAAATATCAGTGAGGAGCTAATCAGAGGTTCATTGACTAAATTAATAACGATCAAGTTTTTACTAGTTACTGTGTTATTACTAGTAATATTAATATTGGGAAATGGGTCTTTTACACAATGCAGTTGCCCTTCATTTGGTATTTTGCACTGAAATTCACTTTGTGAAATTTGGGTTTTAGTTTAAATTTATATATGTGTTTTAACCCTATTTTATTTTCAAAATAAGGGGAAAAAATAGTTTCACAGATGATACTGTAGATTGAAAAACATTGGTTACACTTTATTTTAAGGTGCCCTTGTTACAGTGTAATTATACATTTAAGTACTGAGTAATATTAATTAACTACATGTACTTACTATATGGTTAGGGTTTGGCGTAGGGTTACTTGCATGTAATTATGCATAATTAATTGTTATTATAATAGTAAGTACATGTAACATGTGTAACAAGGACACCTTAAACTAAAGTGTTACCAAAACATTTTAGCACAAGCAACCCACACGCCATGTTTTAATATTGCAAAATCCTTGAGTGTTTTAAGATTTTATTAAAACACTCAATAAAATCGTTGAGTGTTGTTTATTGTAGTGATATTTCTCCATAACCATTGATCATATCTGCCAGAATGAAAAGCCAGATTCATCATGTTTTACAAGCATGTTTGCCCTATTATCAGCTTGTTTACTCAGAATAAATACATTTGGATGATTTTAATCTGTAGTCATAAACATAGAAGAGGCATGCCTTTCATTTGACATTTATGATTGTGGTTACACAAAATGCATCTAATGCACACATGGAAATGTCAAATGGAGCTGCAATTAAGAACCTTTTAGTTCAGTTTTTCTGAATAACAGCAAGCACAAGGTAGCACAATTTACCCCTATAACCTATTTGATCTTTGTTAAATTAGCCTACCATCCTCCAAAAACACATTGAAAACAATGACTTTAGCATAAAGCATTGATGTTGAGTGCATCGAATCATTTCCAAACATTTATACTAATACAAAATGCTGTGCATGGTATTGGTAGGCTGTGAAAAAGAAAGAAAAGCACAGAAAAAAAAAAAAGTAGTTTATATGTGATAATTGTTTGTCTATTACCTTCTGCTGTGTGTTTTGTTGTGTAAATGTCTTTTGTAGTGTAATATATACAATTTTATATTTTTTGGAATAAACTGGAGAGAAACCCAATATTGATGAGTTCTCTATTCAATGCAGTATCGCAATCCTAGCTGATGTCTTGATATTTTTTTTTTGTGTTAAACGCTGCAGGACAGTGAACTTCGGAGCAGAACTGAAAAATCCTGGCATAAATTGTTTTCTATGGCTGTTTTTCTCTTTCAGGTTGACTACTGTCATGCTGGAGCAACAGTCTGAATCTTGCTGAGCAAGTTAGTCACAGTTTGCTACACTGTACACATGCTTATCTGGCTGCTGAATAATAGCACATTCAGTTTAATGGCACATTTGAAAGCGTCTCTATCGCCCCCTTGAGTACTGAGATTCTTTGAATAACATGGCTGCACGTTTGCAATGCGTTGCATTTGTGGCCTTGTGAAAAGTGCACTTAATTGCACTGAATGTGCACTTGTAGTAATCTTACAAGTCCATAAAAAAAGTAATTGCAGATAATATAATATTTATGCAATAAAAAGCCCCTTAAGTGTACACTTTCATGATTGTTTCCTGACACACTTAAGTAGACTATTAAAAAGTGTGCACATTGTAATAATTTCAAATTAAACATTTTACTTTAAAGTATATTTTAAATCATTATGTTTTAATAATATTTTGTCATGCTTTAAAAAAGTACACTTATTTTGATGTGCTGGCTAACATACTTAAGCACATGTGGGGTACTTGATTATAATTTTAACTGTAGTGTGTTATTCAATATTACTGTACATTAATAGTTAATATATGTTAAATGTATTAAATTGCAACTTCATCATAACAAATGTGTAATAACAAATATATATATAAATGCATAACTTACGTATATTTTGGTAAAGTCACAAATGCTTTTTAGTCCATTCGACAGTACACTTTAATAATATTTCAAACACAAAATAATTATGAAGTGGGTCAAAAAAGCACTCTAAAGTGCAACCAATTGCATTTAATATACATTTAAACTTTAATACATTTTCAAGTATT